TTTTGCATTTGATTCGTCGCTTGGTAACGCAATTATAATTGGTAATATTCCAATAATTATCATTTCAGATGTGGTAATTATACTGGATAGCGTAATTGTTTGTTTAATAAATATTTAATTGGCACCAGTGTAAAATTCATTTTAATTCCTAATTATATAAACGATTATACGACGTGGGACATTTATAAGTAGTTACGTACACAAGACATAATCACATCCTATCAAACCCCTTTTTTGCATTAATTACTGCCTTGTAGTTATCATTGCTTCAAAAAGACCATTTCCTTTACAAATAACCAAAAATGATTTATTAGATTATTAATGCACCGTTTTCTCTAACTGATCAGTTAAATAAACTGACAAGTTAAAAGGTAACAGGAGATTAGTGTCCAAAATCTTGCACCGTGATTTTTTTACTATGGTTTAAAATTTAACTGGTGATGTAGGGAATTTGACTAAAAAACGAAAAAGATTGGTGCTAGTAACTAACTTCACACTTATGTGGCGTAAATAAATTTTGACGTTAAGAGTTCGATTCTTTAAAATCTGTGGTTCGATTCTTTATCAACTGTGGTTCGATTCTATTTCATGTACGATCGATTCAGTTGATGGTAAGAGAGAACAATATGGATACAGAACCTGAAAAAAAGGGGGCGCTCCCCAAATTTTTCAGAAAATGAAAAAAATCATTTAATTAATCTTGTGGATACAAGGGTATCATTGAAAACAAAGAAATGACTTATTCGGATTTAAAAATTTTAGAAGAAAAAGAAAAACTTAATATCTGTATTATAATAATAAACAAGAAGTGACTATTAATTTTATTTTAATTTTAAGTATAAATTAAATAAAACATCAAAAATATTATTCACATTAAATTTTATAAATTCGCAAAATAATCTTGTATTAATTGATTTTGAAACATAATTTGATCTTGTGGATGAGTAACAACAGGGTACTCCAGTTCATGGCATTAATTAATATCATCAGGCAATGGCGGCTCTGGGTTATTCATGTCTCTCGCAATATTATGTAGTACAGCTGCAGCTGGAAGAATGGACAAAACTGTATCTAGTTTTAATCTTAAGCCATATGCCAACACTGGAAACCTTCTTTTCCAAATTCCAAATACTCTTTCTATTATATTTCTGGTTCTTAGTAGTGACTCGTTATAGAGTTGCTGACCTCTATACCTATAACTATAGTTATTGGATTTGCCCAAGATGTCAATAAATAATATCTTTGAAAAAAAAATCTTTTGAGGTTAAAAATTGTTAACGGTAGATTAAAGTAATTTAAACCACCGAAATTGGGGGTTTATTTTAACAGTAGTTTAGAGGTATTTAAACAAAGATTAATTTACGGTGCAAGCCAGTTATAAAAAATAAACCTGTGTTAAAAATTAAACCCCTGTTAAACTTACGGTGCAAGTGGCCATAATTAAAAAGAAACGATTTTTTCAGTCTGTTCAGGGCCTAAAAGTGAAATGATATATCTTGTTCTTTTGACATTGCTTTTGGAAAAACAATTAAAATAAACGTTCGAGCTTCCACCATTTAAGCAACTAAAAATTAAATTTGTTTTGCAAATAATTCAACTAAATGGCACATAAGTAAAATTTCACTAACCCATTCTTATGAGACGTTTACTTTTAAGAAGTCGTTGCGGTTAAATGGTTGACAATTACGTCCTGTGAGTCTGTCGCTATCTAAATGAAATCAGTAGTTGGTGCGTCAAAAGATGCTGTAATAAACCAAAATGATACAAGAACAGGCAGCAGCCAGTGCATCGGCCACTGGGATGGTAGCCTGGGTAATAAAGAAGCTTTTCCTTCCCACTCGTTCTCACTTGACATCAGATAATTAAATCAGTGAGTCAGGAGATTAAAGCTTTAAAACATCTAATCCATCCATCGCAATGTACCTTCAACGACATTTGCAACCATAAAGTTTTATAAAGAAATGTTTTTTATCACCTTTATTTCTTAAAATATGATCAAGGGTATCATAAGGTGAATCCCTTGATTTATGGGTGAATATTTTAAAACTGAGATTTTCGGGACCATTTTCGTTAACACATAAAAAAATTGCAAATCTTATTAATTTTGCTCTTTTAGGACTTTTCCACTCATGAACATAGACATGAAGACTAAAAACGGAAATTGCAGGGTTTGATATAATACCTACTCCTAATAATATGATAGGCTTGGTGCCTTAACAAGTTAATGCATTTTGACAGGTGGATCATCAATATGGTGTATTGTGGATTTTGTAGATAGCTAAAATTAACAGCAGTCTGCTCTATAAAAATGAATTGGTCAAAAATTGTCACATCGAAAAAGCAGCCACTAATAATTCTCGTCAACAGCAATTTGTATTCCGGACAGTTATGAAAGTAGATCTGCCGTGCTTAATGAAAACGCCGTAACCAACAATTTTGCGATTTTTGGTTTACGGCATTTTCTACTAGAAAAATTCATCCTGCGTCTATCCCCGGTACTCAAAAAATCGTATCTATATATATATACGGTTTTTTGAGTACCGGGGATAGACGCAGGATGAATTGTTCTAGTAGAAAATTCCGTAAACCAAAAATCGCAAAATTGTTGGTTACGGCGTTTTCATTAAGCACGGCAGAGATATACCTAGTCAATTTTTCATAAAATCTGGAATTGACTATATATCAAAAGCTGATACTTTTGTAATTTTTTACGGTACTTTCGGATTCAGCGAACAATTATACATAAGAATTGGCTGTTTATTCTCCGGAATACAAATTTTTGTGAAGTAAAGTTTTTAGGGGCTGCTTTTTTACTTTAAAAACTAGTCATTTTGAACTAATTTATTTTTAGAGAGTGGTGACAAAGAAAACATTTTTTTAATGTAATAACGATAATAAACAATCGAGTTAATTGGGGAATGTAGTATAGGAGGTACCTACTGTACCGGCTGTACCAAATAAATATAATAATACGCTTACCTTCGGTATGGAGTCAGACAATGCTCATGTCTGTAATTGCGGCTTTCATCTTGTATTTATCACCAAAATTATGTCAAAATTCTCTGGCGGAAAAAGCGTTTTGACGTTTCGACAGATCCTACGAATTCGCAAGATTTGAATCTAGGGGGCGCATGCACATTAATGCATTTGCTTATACATACGCCATTTATGTTTATTTCGTTTGTATCGTAGTGTTTGTTTTGTTGAGTTTAATTCGAACTGTTTAAATAAGTGTTTGAATTTTTGTTTATAATGGACAAAGAGTTTTTTGAGGTATTTTACCTTTATAGTCACTTTAAGTAACTTTACTATTTTAGTAACAATGTCCCTAAAATAGTTCTATCAATATGAAAAATAGTTGCGAAATGCGAATATTCGTATTTCTCATTTCGAATCTATATGAAACCGATTTTAATGTGTTTTATCAAGTGAAATTTTCCGTTTAACAGGAATCTGGTATAGTTTCGAATATATAGTAATGTAGTTCATTAAAAAAAGGATTTTTTGCTCCTTTTCTCTTATTTATCCTATAACTCATTAGGAAGCAAAGTGCACCTGTGTTCTGTAGCTTAAGGCATAATAGTGGTAGAATAGCTAGTTCTACGCATCCTTTCCACCAATTATATCCATTTTTGCCTATCCTTTCCATATTCATTGCTTCTGTCCATGTGAAACCTTGTTTTTGAAGTTCTTCATTAAATGTTTTTTTTTTGTTTGTTAGTGTGTTCATTTTCACCTACTATTTCTCAACGTTTTTCACACTATTTCTTCTTTTTCATTGTCATGTTCATGTTTTCTTTTTGTCTAAATTTTAGACTTACCAAATGTGCATGAATTTAATTCGTCGCCAGAGACTTCTGATCTTCTGATATTTCCATAACCCAATCCATAATTATCTTTCAGTTTTATTTCTTCAGAAAGTTTTCCATTATGTTCTATCTTTGCTATATACTCTTCATAAAGCATATTGTGTTTAGGTTTCTTAAAATATCTAAAATACATTGTATATACATTTTATATATAACCTCAGAAGTCTTAGAAATTGTTGTTACATAAGAAACATAGAAAGTGCTGTTACATAAGGAAAAAAAGGTTTTAATGTATGACTTTTTTTAAATAAAAAATGCTCCTGATAACGTAGTTAATTAAATATCAATATAATTTAAATCTTCTTCTCCTTATATGGGTTTAATGATCGGGTAATAAGACCCATGCTATACATTTTTAAACAATGCTAGTATCTAGTTTTATGTGTATTAGCATATTCAATCTTCGGAATTAGTATAATTTATAGCCTTATTGGGGTTTTAAGTGGATACCGATTGAATTTCTTTGGTTTGCTTCTGGTCGAACTAATCAGTTTCCAGAAGAATGAACATAAATATCAAATTAGTCGTTAAAATAACTACGTAGTAAAATTGAATTTGTGGAAGCATATAGGTGGATAGGTGCTTTAGATAGCAGAGGTAACCCAAAAATGTATTAATTAATTGATAAAGGTATACATAAGGGGGTTAATGTTATTGATAAAGATAAAAATTAATTATGTATATTAGTATTGGAATTTTATGTATGTTACAAAACTGATATCCAGACCTTTTGTGTAGTGAAACTAAGTTTAAGATCAAAATTCTTAGGATCATTATGGAAATGTATATTTTGTATAACTTACTTCAAACCCTTTTGAAATCAGTTTTAAAATATTCTTTGCAAAATATTAGATTCAGTAGTGCTACCCATTTTTTACTTTAAACTCAGTAGACCACCTTTTACTTGAAAGATAAAAAAACTTGTAAATGTAAATGTGTTAAATATTTAGAGTGAATTGAAGACCCAAGCCCATTAAATTTGGCTGCAATTGAGATGTTTGCATTTAAATTATTTGACAGATTTTATCTAAACTACCCTTTTAAAGTGGCGATACATTAAGGTGTAGTAGTTGGCACCTGCTCGTTCCGTAATTATTTCCTTTTTGATACGATCTCGTTTTTTCCTTTCAGGATAGTTTTTTGTGTGATCAACCTGGGGGCAGAGGTGTTCTGCAACAGATTGCCAGGTTTAACGCAGAAACAAAGAGAAATGTGCAAGACGTCGCCGGACGCCATGGTTGCCGTTGGCGACGGCATCCGATTGGCTACGGAGGAGTGCAAATATCAGTTCAGGCATCATCGGTGGAATTGTACGGGGATCGAGAATCCTTCTTCCTTTGGACACGTGGTTGTCGTGGGTAAGTCCTACTTATTGTTTTTTAAGAGTTTATACCAATTTAAAAATCATAAAATGACCAAAATGTTATGTTTTCTTAATTTTTAATCACCCTGTACATTTGATTAATTTTTATTTATGGGAATCCAATTTTTTAAACAAGTAGGATTTTTTAGGAAAAATTATTTTTTTCGCAAACTGCGTAATAACAAAGTTTTTTCTATTGGCAACCAGATCCCTGCTCTCTTAGAATGAAATAGTCAAAATATGAAAAAAGTTTAGCTCAAAACAGCAACACAAATAATATATTCAACTTTAAAATATTATGAACAATATTGATTGACAAATAAAATTGATTTTTATAATAGCGACTGATAGCCACATGGGTTATGACAACAGCTTGACAAGCTTGACGAGTCACAGACCTGAGTTCCATCCCCGGGTGGGTCAATACTTTTTTTAAATTTAAATTTACTAATTTGACTATTTCATTCAGTATTAGACTGTGCCAAAAAAATCGACTATTTTTTTTTGTAAAGTATATCGAAAACATTGTTTGGGGTGACAAAAAAAAATATGGTAAAAGTTTGAGTCCATAATACTAATATTAAGAGGTCTATCATCGCAATTTTAGATTTTTTTTCCTGAGCGAGTTTTTGTCTCAGAACTACCAAACCATTGAGTTTAACAAATTTGACTTAAAAATATTTTTTAAAGAAAATTGAATGCTTTACAAAAAAGGTTTAATTGAAATTTCCCGTCAGATGAACCGTTTTCACTCAATCAAAAGTTATTCAAGGTTAAAATTTCGTTTTGACTTCAAATTTAACCTTGAATAACTTTTGAATGAGGGAATTTAGCCGAAAATGATAAAAGACTTTTTTTGTAGAGAATTTGATTTCCCATAAGAATATTTATCGGTTTTTTTCCGGTTACTGATTTGTACATGAATTACAAAATTCCAATTTAAAAGATCAAAATGTAAAACTATACCAATTTTTAAGGCATGATTTTAAGAAAAAGGTTCATCTGACAGAAAATTTCACTTAAACCTTTTTTGTAGAGAATTTAATTTTCTTAAAAAAATATTTTTGAGTCAATTTTGTTAAACTCAATGGTTTGGGAGTTCTGAGACAAAAACTTGCTGAGGAAAAAAAAATTAAAATTGCGATGATAGACCTCTTAATATTAATATTATGGACTCAAACTTTCACAATAACTCACAATAACACACCCCAAACCATATTTTCGATATACTTTTCAAAAAAAAAATAGTTGAATTTTTTGGCCCAGTCTATTCAGTATAGTATAGTAAATTGGTTCAAATTACAGTAAATATTGAAATCGGCCAACAACAGGTAAAATGAGTTCATTATTCCTGTTTTTAGATGGAGCGGGGCGGTTATAATGGTTATCATATCAATATTATGCAAATGGAGTAGAAACTAAATATGCAATAATTTTATTGAAGAACTATAATAGTATATTAAAGAACTAATGAGACGTAATTTTGTCGTACGCGGACAATTTATAAAACGAGCGACGAAGGGGTGAGTTTTGTAAAGGACGAGTGCGACAAAAGGTCTTATGACATGAGTTCTTTATGCTATTTTATTTTTCAAAAATTCTATAAACAAAATTAATTTTTTTACCTTACATTTAATTTGGTCGAATTTTACTTTAGATAGTTGGTATCACAGTCATTGGTTTGTCAAAATCAATTCGCCATGCCGCCCTTAATTTACTTATTTACAATAAGCGGCTGTTAATGTTAAAGAAGAAAAAAAGGATTTTCTCTGGTGTTAAACAAAATTTATTGCCGTAAGTACTAGAAAAAATAAAAATATTATAACCAATATGCAAAATATAACGCCTTGACTAGAAGTACACCGGGAGTACGGGCATTAAAAGTACATCAGGTTTGTGCGCATGCGTGTTTCCATAACAGCTGATGGTAAAATTTCGGATTTATTAGTTGACATTAAATTGGTACACTAAGGCCCAGTTGTATAACAGTTGGTAAAGAGCTGGTTAACTCTTGATATTAATTATGTAATTATTAAGCTAACTTTCAAGTTGTATAACATTGATTCAAATTTAATTAAGTGTTTGAAATACAATTAACAACAAAATTAATGAAATGTCAGTATGAATTACCCAAACCAACCCAAACTCAACAACCCAACCCAACCGACCCCGCCCCATTGGGCCCCCCGCCCCATTGAGCGCGAAATTGAGCGACCATTTAATATTATACAATTGACAAATATGCTAAATAAGGTACTTCTAGTCACTTTGAAAATATAATGCTGTTTAGAGTATAGCCAACCTATAAAATCAAAATTTTGGGTGGAATAAAGTATCTCAGTACAGCACCGAAAGCGGTGTTATAATGAAGTCATTATGAACCGAAAATAAATAAAGTTTATATTTAATATCTTTAAACCGCTGATTCTATTATTTTAAAATGGTATATTATGCAACGACCATTTAATGATGGCTATTAGGACATGAGCATGAAAATTATGACATGAGTCAAAGGCGAATAATAATAATAATAATATAATGTTTATTTCATAAAAAGCAAAGGTACAATATGGTTCAGACTCTACAAGAAATTCAAAAACTTTACATTTAAAAGTATTACAGGAACTTAGGACCTTTATACTATTAGGTAAATGATTGAATAATTTAATCCACATATAAACACATTTTTTTCTGTGGCTATAAGTCTGTGAATAGGATACATATAATCAAATGAACGAGTATGATAACAATTAACTTTTTTATATTTTTGGAACAAACTGATGTTCTTGAAAAAAAACATTAAACATTGAAAGATATAAACACCACTAACACTTAGAACTTTAATTGTCTAAATTTACCCCTACATGAGCTCATGTTCTAGGTTCTTGAAGATAAACCCAATATTTTTCTTACTGTCCTTTTCTGAATGACAGACACATTTTTAATATCGCCGCTACTAATAATACCAAAACTTAAGATTGAGTTAAAATTTGCATGATATAACATCTTTAGTGTGTCGAGGTTAAGGTATTGATATAACACTCTAAAACTATACAAAACTTTGTTTAACTTGTAACAGATATGTTGAACATGTTTTTTCCAGTCTAAATTCTCATCTATATAGATACCTAAAAACTTTGTATCTTTTACTAAGGACACAAGTTCATTGTTTATCGCAGTTTGTTCAGGTACATTTACTTTAGTATTGTTTGTTCTAAAAATAACAAAATTAGATTTGTCTGAATTTAATACCAGTTTATTTTTGTTAAACCATTGTACAAGACCGCGCAACACCACCCCTGCGCTATCCATCAGACCCTCAAAGGTTTTGCTCTCTGTAATGACATTGCTGTCATCAGAATAGTTTATTAAAAAATCTGAATTCTTCACCAAGCAGTCCCCTAAATCATTTATATTAGTCTAAGATCCCAAGTAAGGTCGACCTTCACCCATCTGCTTACCAGATGAAAATTATATTTTATCAAATAAAATACGTTTCTGAACATAAACCAATAGGGTTGCCATAAAAAATATGATCAAGGCTAGCTATACTTAATAAATAAAAAATTAAAAAAAAATAATTAATTTTTTAAATTTCACCGACTTGCTTGCCAAATGAACGAAATTCCAATGGAAAGCATACAACATACAGAATATGTAACAGCTAGGTTGCCTACCTTTTTCTGGTCCCTATTACCTGGTTGCTTTGTACAGGGTGATCCCCTATAATGTCGCCCCCCTTTAACTTTTTTATTTTAAGTGTCCCAAAAAAATTAAAAGTTTGGTTATGTAGGTACTAAAAAATACTTTTTTTCTACGTATAAAGAAAATTGGAAAATTGATCAGTATACAGGGAAAACAAAAAGTTTATTTTTTTCAATGGATCACCCTATATATGAATTTATTTTTCGATTCCTTGTAAAATTCTAAGCATATTTCATATATCATACCATATACCTAAATTCAACCGTTTCTGAAATATTTAAATTATTTTTAAGATAATAAGTTGAAATAGTTTGTTTTTCTCTGTCTGAGTACGCCATTTTTACTTATTTAACAACACTTATTGACATAATGTCACTATAGTAATTTATTTTCAATAAAAATTTTGGTATACTGAGGCTTCTTGATTTCTAACAGTTTAAAAAAACATTTAATGATGACATTTCGAATGCGAATATTTCAGAAACGGTTGAATTTAGGTATATGGTTTGTTATATAAATTATGCTCAGAATTTTACAAGGAATCGAAAAATAAATTCATATATACGGTGATCCATTGAAAAAAAATAAACTTTTTGTTTTTCCCTGTATACTGATCAATTTTCCAATTTTCTTTATACGTAGAAAAAAAGTATTTTTTAGTACCTACATAACCAAACTTTTAAATTTTTTGGGACACTTAAAATAAAAAAGTTAAAGGGGGGCGACATTATAGGGGATCACCCTATACAAAGCAACCAGGTAATAGGGACCAGAAAAAGGTAGGTAACCTAGCTGTTACATATTCTGTATGTTGTATGCTTTCCATTGGAATTTCGTTCATTTGGCAAGCAAGTCGGTGAAATTTAAAAAATTAATTTTTTTTTTAATTTTTTATTTGCTATAGCTAGCCTTGATCATATTTTTTATGGCAACCCTATTGGTTTATGTTCAGAAACATATTTTATTTGATAAAATATAATTTTCATCTGGTAAGCAGATGGGTGAAGGTCGACCTTACTTGGGATCCTCTACTATATATATAATGAATAACAGAGATCCAGCAATGCTGCCTTGTGGTATACCTGTCTTAAAATATTGACTTGAGGAACTAAACACTTGTGAATCCCTTTCAGGAACAACCTTTTAACATCTTCCAGAGAGGTAAAATCGAAACCACTGCAAACCCTTACACCATAGTTGTACAATTTGCTTATTAATATGTCGTGATCTAAGGTGTCATAAACTTTAGACAAGTCTAGAAAAATCCCTAATGAAAGCATTTTATTTTTA